TTATACACATACGAGATATGCATTGTAACAGAAACGCTCTTTTCTGGCCCTTTTCAGGCCTCGTGCAGGACCAGAAAAATACGAGTGCTTACCGAGCGACGGCAACCTATGAAGTAGGGATCTTAAGTACACCGTTTTCAAACTGCATAAAATGTTCCACATTTGTTCATATTCACTCTGGGGCATATGGATAACTCATTTACCTTCTAATTTTATTTTTCCACCAAACAACAAATACTGACAGCATTTGCTTCGTTGACTAAAGCATACTCAGGAAGTGGTTAGAAGCACTTGCGCCTCAGTCAAAGCGAAACAAGTTTGTATTTCGTCCTTAGTTCCTCGTCATTTTCAGGACAAGCATCAGTCCCTCATGAACGTATTGTGTGCTATGGTCACCCGTTAACGTATTCCGACGAATTTCAGGTACTTCTGGGGGGACCAAAGAAGATCGTCTGTATCGACGTAAATGTGGGAATTGTGACGGTTTTGAATGACACCCGGCAGTCGCAGGACATTCTCCAACCCGTCGAGTTTCGTATGAAAACATCTCTTGTTCAAACTTCATCGGTGAGCCTAAAGTCGTTAGAAACGTTATCCGGGTTTGATATAGCGAAGCATATAGACTTCCTGTTGTATGTTTTGTGTTGATAGTCTGAGGTGACGTTTAACGTCAGCGGCGAAAGGACAATTGAGAATGATTCTTTTTCGGACGATGCGGTCAAGTAAACGTGAGATGAGATCGGGCATCATCTTGAATGAACGAATCGGACTATTGACATTAATAGGTATCGTATTAGAGTACAAAATTTTTGACCAAATATTGACCGTCTGATAAGTAATTGATGATTGTTTATTCCGTATGGTTTTAACAGAGCCTGGAATTCTGTGCACATTGCCCGGTAGTTCCAACACCGTCCGTCGTCACCTCACTAATCAGCTATAAAGTAAGTATCGATGTAGTGCATGCGTGCTTTCAACTAGAAGCTGATAGTACCTGTAGAAAGACTATTAAGGCCAGTTCAATGGCAAGCAAATACAGGTACCTATAATACACCGCAAGTAGCAACATGTTGAAATTCACTCTACGGCGTAGTATAATAAATAACCTCCATTTGATGACACGCGTAGATAAGGCCGGCGTTTAAAAACAACGCTATACTGCTATTTCAAACACCAACGGGCGGTGGTCAATATCGTTCGCGTTGATATATATGTTTCATATTGAAATTGCGTCGCGTGGACAAGCGTGCGAAAAACTCTATTGAAACCATACTGTGACAAAGAGCTACCAAAGGAACGGTTGATCTTACCTTTACTAGATATATAATTATACACTTATTGATCTTTTGTGACTCCGTAAATTTCCTGCTATGATCTTTTATGTTCCGTTCACGTGGGCTTCTAGGTGCCTTGCAATGACCCACTTTGTAAGGTACGGCTTCATGTGACAGCGCAAATTAATGGCGTTGCAAATCGGACAGCGATTGCTTTAGGCCGAAGCAGACCACTGGAGCTGAAAATTGAAGTATCTGCTGATAAACGCCTGGATACGGCTTTTAACACTTTTTTGATCGTACGTCTACGCGAGGGACTCTCTTTTAACAATCCTGACAAGTGCAAACGTAATAATAAATCTGACAATTCAGAGCTGAAATGTCTCGTTGACTCACAGCTCCCAGGTAGGTTATCACCTAGATTTCGATCAAGACTGTACTGGCATGTTTTCAACCTATATCGACCTACGATAAAGGAAATTTATTATTATTTTCTGTGTAATTTTGTTGTGAATAAACAAATCATATTAATTAACTAAATGCTAATTTACATTTGATACTATTAAAATAATACTTCAGCGGCTAACATGCGAACTTGTACCATGGTTTGTTCACAGCTGGCGCAAGCCGTCAAATGATTATTAAGCTCGATCTTGACCCAGACCTGGATCGGGTTAAAGCTAAATCAACGGTTGGACTAGATGTAGAATTGATTACCGAGTCGAAAGACGAGAATGCCGCCAAGAATAGGCTAAGCCTTGAATTCCCCTTGGTGAAGCTGGCTGATGTAGGCGTCTCGGGCAGCGATGTCCAGCAAACGGCGATGTTTAATAGGACAACGACGATAACCCAATTTCAACACGTCTACACTGTGACAAAGTACCACGATAGTACTGTAAGCATAAGTTGCATATTACATATATATATATATATATATATATGTTGGTTCCTTTGTTTACACAGACTGTGTAGTCTATATTCCAGCGAAGATGTCTATCCGCTAAATGCTCGACAGAAAGCAAAGATCCAAAAAAGTCGGCAAATTTAGGTTATTGATACGGGAATTGACAGCTTTTTCAGGGAGAAGAATACTAGTTGTTTATTGGATCATTCAGATAAGCCTTTCGAACCCTCTAGCCGTTTTGAGCAATTCGATTTCTGGGATTTTTAGCCTATTGTTAACCTAAAATTTAATTTCGCTGGGATTTTTCATGTATCGTATCTGTTCACACCTGCCAATAACGCTCAACGCACGATTACTCTTATTTATTATATATGTATATAAGATAATTAGTTATTACTTTAGGTCGCGAATCAAAGCTATAATTGCAGTGAATGGTAGTTATATTATACTAAATAAGAAGAGCTCTCACAAACAGCCTATTGACATACCTTCACAGTTTCTAGTGGGTCTCGTGTGCATTAACTAAACCTCTGATAATTCTGTGGGTATATTCTAGCGAACTGTTAAATTCAATATATGAGAGCAAGACATAGTAGCAGACGAATGTTGTAACAATGAAATCAGATCTATAAGTAATCTATAAGCTCTTGGCCCCCTTAGAAATGGCGGATCCCTTCTATGGAAGTGACTAACATCATACGGGCTGCATAGGTTCAACACGTATAACGAAATTTAAGATAAACAACTTATGGTAAATTGTGCTTTTTTTTCGGGCGAACGTAGAACATGGCGGACCCTTATAGTTTTGTCACTGTTTCTGGATCGTGTTATTCGGTCAGGAGCAGCTCAATTAATGGACTTCTCATAGCATTAACATGTTGCCTGGCTTCTATTAGCTCTGTTATGTATGCAGCTTAGAAGAACAGAGAAACAGTCTGAGATAATTTGTTTTTAGGTCGAATTGGTACACTTGCATATAGATGTGCCGGTAGCAACAAAGAAAGCCTATGCGGCCAACCATCATTTCATCAAGATACTGTCCTATGGCGAGAGGGATACACATGGGGCAGTCGACGTAAAATGCACATCAACAAACCTGCGCAGAAAACGTAGCCCCGACGCGAGTCCCGTTGCGCTGGAACGACTGGCATCATCTTCGTCATCGTTGATTCCCTCAAGCGCGTCTCTTACACTGCCAACGTCCAGCATTCGAGAGCTAGTCATTGACTGTGATACGTTTACGTGTAAACGGGTCATCTGTCGACTCGGACCATTCATCGGGGATCAGTCACGAGTGACCTATGCTGTCAATCTGGAACTGAATATCACTAAGCTCATCGATGAGGTTCGTATCATACTTGTGTACATCAACTACACCAACCAGGGTCTGATGTTCACTCTTGACAAAAACAAGAGCCAACAAAAAAGTCATGTTCATTTTCGCTGATAGAAAATTGGTAGAGAAAAACCACTAGCTGGTTTTTTTTTCAGTTCTTTGTAAGCGTAGCCTCCACCAGCCGATCAGGCTTTTAACAGGATTACTGTCATTCCGTATAAAAAGGGGTTATATTTTCAATAGTTTTTTTTTCCTTGTAAGGATTACAGCGACAGGCTTCGTTACGATTAGGGCCTGCGCCTTTCAGCGAGCCTTCTATTTACCAATGATATATTCATATTGAATGCTTACTAAACAAGAGTATTTTGCCACTTCCCTCAGATTCGCGTCATTCCTGAACACATTGCCTACAGGAGTCGTGCCAACATCAGCGTGGCGAACGTTGAACAGTTTTCTTTCGGAGCACATGAACACTCGAAGGTTGCACAGATACAAACCGGCCTGTTCCGCGAAGGCCGGCCGCTAGGACCGGGTATACCCTGGTGGTGGCTACTCATTGCAGTCCTGCTCGGCCTTTTGATGGTCGCACTCATTGTCATCGCCCTATATAAATGTGGCTTCTTCCGACGAACCGACCGCGAAGCTCTTGACGAAATGCAAAAAGAACCACAATCTGCTTCGCCGATTTTGCTAACAATGCCATCGGATCACCAAACACACATTGTGGCGCCTCAGCATCATGTCGGCCACCCGCATTCACCGATAAATAACATGGTCGACCATACCGTCGATAAAAACGACAATAACACGTTCCGGGATTCGAGGCTTTGATCAGGGTTACAGCACGCTAATATTAGAGAAACAGAATACACAGCGGTATATATATATATATATATATATATATAGCGAATGGCAAAAGTGGACAGTACTTGAGATGTTAATATTCAAGGGCAGTGATAATGCTAACCTAACCTAACCTAGGTGCAGCCCGTCGGCCAACTGAAATGCCGGAAGAGATGGTAGGTAACCAGTACGATGTGTCTGAGTGATGATCGACTGTTTGTATTAGATGATGAGGCGCAACTGTATCGATGAACTTCATTAACAATGCCGAGCTAAGTTATAGGTAATGCACAAACTTCTGCACCACCGGTGATTCAGATAAGATCATTCTGGTAAGAAACCCGCTGGTAGCTAGATTTAAGCTAGCTTCAGAAAACAAATTTACAGCACAGAGTATTTCAGTCGTACTTAACAAAGCATATAATTCGTGAATTTATGCTGTATCTGCTCTTCGGTTTTTTCGGCCGAATTTACTATCCTATTGGCACTAATCAAAAAAAAAAAAAAACTTTGTAGACAAATCAAATTGTATAGAGCTGCGATATTGCGAATTTTTTTTTGTTTTGTTGGCAATAATCCACTAACGGTGTTTTGCAGGAAAACATATAGTAGAAATAGTGATTAACTATCCAGCTAAGTGAGCCATTCAACTTACTGACAGGCTGCGCACAGTCCAGTCCAATAGAATGATAGATCGATCCTTCTTGATCGATCACAGTTACCTAGAAGTGTAATATAATTATAACAATACACATGGGGCTTTTTCAGAGGAAGTGAGTAAAACTTAAAAACGCTATTATTATATATTTATTGTACTATTTATGACCTCATGTATTATCTAAGGCAAGCGGATAGTTGTGAGAAGTACAGTCGGTTAAGGTGCGAAGGCATTGAACGGCACGATAGTGAAGAAACGTATCTAGGAACGACTAGTATTGATGACGCAACTTACCGCTGCCTAAACAACACTTTCCAGAATGTCATGTTCAGTGTGATGTCTCTGTTGGCAGATACACGTTCCGTTGAATCGGTGATCTTGGCAACTCCTGCAGGTTGGTACCATGGGCCTCGTAGCCCTCTACGTCCGAGTCTGCATTACAGATGCTTTGCCCGGTTTTTGTGAAGGATCGGCTTGAGAAGTTCCTGCGTTGATTACTACCGACAACAGGGACACCAACCGCACCGGGTGACCATCTATATGTCAGAGCCATCCCGATGAAGAATCCGATGAAGTAAGCTTTATTAGTTTGGTCGTAGAACCACCTATCGGGTGCGACACTTCATTCCAACTAGTTTCAGTATAAGAAATGTTTTTTTTTCGTCGAGATAACAGAAGTACGTATGTGGCGCAGACGCTCCTACGTCGGTCTTCAGGGTTGCAGTTGTAATTTTTATAACCCATTTGGGAAGCAAATCGTGTTTTTCTGTTTGTTTGGAACCGAGAAGTTTTGAATTTCATTCAGTTTATTCATTACTCAGTCCTGTACACGTTTGTATCTATAGCGTGGATACGACGTTTAACCAGAAGGTGTACTCGTTTAATGAATGCACATGAACAGCGAGCATATCTGGAGCGCATAAGCTCTATCTAGCTTAAATCTGTTTCCCTTAGTAAACGAAGAACCTAGGAATAAAATGCATCCATTCACACTGCATTAGAGGTAGAATAGGAGATGACGCTCATAACGATGATATGAAGGCCCCAAATCGTTTTACGGTAGCGTTCATGACAGCGGTAAAAACGATTATCTTGCAAAATATTTTTTTACACAGAGGTTAGTGGTAGCTATTTTGTATTTCACTCATAGATATTTTTGATCAGCGTGAATTAATCGCATATTTTAACTAGCATACAACAAACCTAGTTCGACAATGGCGTAACGCCTAGAATGAAAATCGGTCGAGACTTCCTGTCGTTTTTGTGCGGCTTGTTTACGTGCCTTTCAAACTTAGCGACAACTAGGAAAAATTCAAGGGAATTTTTCGAGGTATGTTTCCGACTTTCGGATCGGGTCCATAAACCCAGCATTTTATTTTCGCTACAAGAGAAAAACCCCGCTCTTTTAATTTTGCTTAATAATTTCCGTCGGTACACTCGTACATAGCGGGTATCGTGAGTACGACCAGTGACATTAACGTTGTATTATAGAGATGAATAATAATAGAAAAATTATTTATCTTTAGAAGAGGGGAAAAACATTGTGAAGAGATGGATCATTGTACAGTTGGCGCCGCTTGGAGAACGATGACGTATACGAATGAAAATGTCTACCTTTGTAGATCGACATGATCTAAAAATGTAATTATAGGATTAAATAATCAGATAAAATAGGTACAACGCAAAAAATATCTGCGGGTGCGATGCAGTATTTGCTAGGTGGGACCCGGTAGCGTCCGAATTGAAAAACTATTATACTTCACTCTGAGGTCCACATAAGCAATTAAAAGTATCGCAGGTACACCCGTGTATTACCCTGCCTTAGCTAGACTTCATCCGCTTTCGGCCAGTTGTTAACGACCGTCAAAGGGATACTGCACTTCGCAAGCATTACTTCAATAAAGATGGCTGGCATGCAGCAAATGCAAGCGAACAGGTTGCCTAAGGGAAACAAATGTCGGATAAATGATCGTCTGCAGCTTCAGCTGCCGACATTTTTACTGTGGGAAAGTTCCGATGATGAAAGCTATGGCAATAATAATTAATCAGTATCGGCCCTCATAGGAAGAGTGTAAGTATTGCTAATGTAAATTTCTAAATACTACTACTATTAATGTCTACTATTAATGATAATATCATTGCATGATGTGTAAATGAGAGAGAAAGTAATCAATTGCAAATGAGACTGAAAAAGCACAATGTGGAAACGAATGAATGAATAGATCAGGAAGGAAATCGATGAAAATGCCCCTGTATAGTACGATTAAAGGATCAAACTAAAATATTCTTATTATTAAGAACCATATAATTGAATATAATAACAATAAAATAATTTATTTCAATTTAATGCTGTCCGTGTGTTTTACTGAATGTCGGTATATGATGGCGCTAGTTGCATTCATTTCATTCTACAGGATCAGGCACCGAAAAAGTCCATAGGTTTAATACAGAGGGCCAGCACTCACCTTTAGTGACCTCTAGAAGCTAGAAAACGCATAGATCGAGCCCCTTAGATCTTAAACTTAAAATGCGCTAAAAACAGAAAAAAAGTCAAGAAAAACCATCAACGATACCATTTATGTTTGGAAATCTATGTAGCAGATGGATAAACGTAAAGTAGCTCGGCAGATAGCAAGTGTATATATAGCATTCTGAGCAACTTATATGTTCGCTGGTTATCAAACGAAATTGTTATGAAAGAATTCATCAAAATATGATTCTTCATCAAATTTAGTGGATCACCATCTACTTTTGCTCTTTTTTTTACCATATACCTCACAGCAGGGACGGTATAGAACCACCTAAAAACAATTTTTTCCGTAAAGGTTTTATGAACAGCTAATAATCATTATGACCAAATGCTGAAAGACCTATACTTCTGTAACGAGGGGACGTAAAAGACATCAGTCTTTTACGTCCCTTCGTTAGATCTTTCCCATTAGAAAGGTCAAAATAGGCTAGAAGTTAGTGAGACTGCGGAACAAGCAATGGTTTTGTGTTAACCTCAGTTTTCAATAAAAAAAATTTCCGATCTAATAGTTTATGCTATATTTTTCTCCTTATATTATGAAGGACGTCCGGGGTGGCAAGGACATTGAAAGTAACGATCTATTCGGAAAGGCCGTAAACAGGTAGACCTTTCATTTCTAAGTATCATAACGAAAACTATCGATGGCTTCTATATATACATAACATATTTGAGAGTGCTGCGCATATATAGTAGAATATTCTGCAGATTTTCTATTTAATAAGGGAGTACGATTTTCTCTAAAATCAGCACCACGTCTTCTTGGACAGAGCAGAAATAAGCTTGCTTAACATCCTCGTTTATCGCTCAAGAGTTGCTCTTGTCGTTTACGTTAATGATAATGATTTGTCCCAGAAGCAAAAGTATCGCTCGTGAGCTCACCATTTTGTAGAGACGACCGTTGTGGGTCAGTGAATTGTTCATGCTCAGATGAGAAGACCTACACACACCTCCTGTGGACGGGCTGGTCCTGATTCAATCAGACGTTGTGCATACTCAAATGGGTATTCCACAGCAGGCAGAAAAGTCAGGGTTGCCGAATCACAACCCTTGTACCAGTAGTGGTAGCGGTAGTACTATCAGCTCTTGCGGGCTCTATAGCGAAGCAAAACAACGAACCGACCCGACAAAGGATTCTGTCACCGAGAACCTTTTTCTGGTTGTATAATTGGGTTTTGAATGAACTGCGCTTTATTGGGCGTATGGCAGCAAATGACAAAGTCGAACGAAATGAAGCCCACTGTATTCCATACAATGTCCCCCTTGGCTACGCAACCGCTCAACTCATTTCGTACCGAATCAAAAAATGTCTCCTCTTAACAAGCGAGCTAAAACTACCAACAAAGGCATTTTAGCGTGTCCCTGTTTATTGTATAGACAAGTACGACATCGCAGAGTGGAACTGGCGCTCATCTATTCCGTCTGACCTAAGCGAAAGTTTGTACTTTGTAGTTCGGTCGTGGTTTCACGGTGATGGGTTCACAGTTTCAGGTTTGCTCGGGGGTTCACCTGCGAATACCGACAACACAGGTGGTGCGGCAGGTGAACTGCACCTGAGCATCTTTAAGGCCGCCCTTCGACCTCGAACGGTTCGGCGGGTCCTCTTGTTCAAGGCCCGGCCACACACTATAGTGTTATTTGAAGCGGAACCGCTTCTCTTTGCCATGAACCCGGCGACGAACAGAAGTCGAGCTGATCTCCGTTGTTGTTGCACAAGTTGTGGGTCGGGTCGCGCGGGGTGGGTTTACTTAGAGGATAAGGCCAGGTAGTTAAATAGTGATACGGGTAGCGACAGCCACATTCATATTGTGGGCAAACGCGCATCCGAAACCTGTTCCTTAACCCGACTCAATTTTCCAGAAACACCTGGAACGGACTATCGCATTTTGGTTGAGTGCGACATAAAAAAGAGTGAAAATATTGGCTAAATTACAGCAGGAGCAGCGATCCTGTTGAAAGACGATTTTTCATTAAAATGAATAAAATGATTCAATAAAATGAATTTATTATAGCCAGATATAGGAAGTTAATACTTTATAGTAGCTATAGTAAATACTTTATACTTCTCTGTGCTTAGTCTACTCTTAGATAATTTGTTCTATAAAGGACTACCATTCAGAAAGTTAGGGCAGCTCGAATATTGTCCAATCTGTGATAATTACGGTCTAGAACAGTATTTGATTAGTGCGTTCCATTCTCCAAATCGAATTATAGTAGACTAAAGAGGTAAAAAGGAATGTCAGTCACAGCAGTGTTTGTATCTAGCATGTTCTTATCGCCATACTGGGAACTGTTTGTTGCCTTTTTCTCTAAATACTCTAAAGTTGTATATATAGTCTCCTTATCCGTCTCGTCCTAGATCGTGCTGTTCTTAGGTAGAAATTGAGCAGAAGTTCATACCCAGTCATCTATCTACACACGCCCTGTATTTATGTTGTTTGTCTAAATTGATGTAATCATCAACAGACATCCACACAAGTTTTTCTTGGATGACTCAGCCAGTTAATGGCCAGACATGCCCAATAACATATTCTTTTCCTCAGTCTATAGCGTGACCGATTTCCACGTGGTATTATTGGTCAGGTGTAAATTTAATCATAACCTAGATCTTGACGTTCGATTTTATGTTTGAGCCAACACTCGCTTTCTTCGCCTCTGCACCGTACCGTCGACAAGACGCATCGACATGACGACGGAGTCCTGTTGAACCAACCGTGGATGAGATTGAAGCTGGTCACGCTCCTTTGGCGATTCAGCCATCCGACACCGGCGCTTCGACGACCGATACGCATAAAAGTCGCCCTGCGGCAACCCGCGCTCTCCGCGCGACTCTAAACAGGGACGAAATTGACGTAAGCAGCAACAGCAGCGACGTTATTATCGAAACAGACACCAAGCGCCCGTGCAGATCTGCCAACAGTTGCCGTAGGGGCAGGCCAAAAGCTTTGAACAACGGTCGGTGGAACAGACAAAGCAAGCAAAACCTCGTAATACCTGCACTAGTAGTACTGGTAGCCAACAAAACACAGTGAGTGATTGTGGACCCAACGTGCCGCCGATAGATTCAACCATTCTCGTCATTGTTAAGTAACGATCGGGCCGTAACGCGGCAGCGGGCTAACGTACGTCTGGCCATGTGCTTGTTCGTATCTAAATCTGTGTCTCACTCAGCGAGCAATAGGTGCGCTGGTTAGCGTACTCCTACGCTTGGGATAGTACCAGAGTCATTCACATTGAGATAGTCAACCACAGAACGAACGACTGGCGCCTACCGCAGGCGTCATCGTTCTCACTAGCTCGGCAGTTCGTTTGTTCGTTCTCGCACGCTTGGACCGTTCAGCTGCATCTCAACGGTGGTGGGTCTTCTTGCCGAGCGAGACAGGGAGATTGACTCCAACTCGTTGACGGGGATCGCGGTAAAAGCTGCGCATAAGAAAAATATGCCTATCTACGTTAGTACTAGCAGCACCATTCGCAGTAACAACACTTGCCACACTCGTGACAGAAGCAGTAGCAAAGGTTTTCCATTCAAATTTGCTACGATCGCCGGGCCTGCACCTGAGTTTGCCGCCGGTGTTTTGTGCTATCCGGTGGAACAAGAATGAAGAAAGAATGTAACCTATGCGATTTGATGTGAAATACCAAAACGGCCGAACCCGTGCGATGGCCGTGGGGAGCACTTGGTTGCTGCCGGATTTTTTCAAGCCGGGAACGTACGAAGTACCCCTACGTTTGCTCTCACCGGCCGAATCGTTCAAAGACACCTACAGATGCATATGTAATCAGAGACTTGTCTGCGGCCGACTAGAAGAAATATTTTAGAGACTGATCACAGACGGAGGTTTTGTTAGGTGCGTTACATATTAAGCTTGCTTTGAGTCTATTTACCGGAGGAATAAGAAATACATTTTTGGTTTAAGGTCTAACTGACATACGTATGCGGATGAATTTTTGCTGCTCTTTAACTTGGTTAATATGTGTTTTTACTCAGCCCATCAGGGTAATCGTGTTTTAATTTAACCCCACCTCGGAACTTGCTAATATAACAAGGGAGATGTTACTGACCCGACCACTGGGCGATCGCTATTGTTCTTATCTACAATCTGTTGCTTTATTAATAATTACTGAAGAAAGATTGAAGAAGACAACAATTGTGTTCCCGCAAAAATCCTGTCGAAGTGTCGTCGATACCGTGACACGTGTACGTATGGACTCATTCTTTCTACACTACGTAGTTAATTGTGGCCGAATTGGTCTTCCCTATCCCGACTCTTTTCAGTGGCAAACACGTGCATTAAAATCCTCTCATAAGTGTTCCTACGACCTTCTCGTTAGCGTATTTCCCGGTTCGGCTGTGTCACCTTACGATTCGTAGTTAAATACAGAGCCACCGTCAACTGACCTATTACAAATTCCATACGTAACGAATCTGCCCTTGCTCCTTATCGAGCCCACCGTACAGCCTGCAGAGTGAGGGCCTTCGAAAACCTAGGCAATAATTAAACGGGATCTTAGCTCACGGTTGCTGCTGTAATTTTGATTTTTCCTGTTGGTAGTTGTTTAACGGCAGCCAACGGTTCGCCAATCGTCAGGACACTCTGTTCCATTGTTGACTCCAGGGCCCTACACCTCAAAGACTATCCAATGAATGGCACACTACTATCTACATGATCATTACCGCTTCGTCTGTGCTGAAAGCCGCTTCCGGTTGCCATAGAAAGCAATGGAGTGAGAAAAGATATCTAACACAGCATATATCTATATGTATACATATATATAACGAGCGAAATACATATACACCGACAGCGGTGACTGAAAGA